GGTCAAATAAATATTCTTCAAAGTTAGAATTTTGGAGCTTCCGCTTTCTGAGATTTCTTCATCTTTAGAATTCGCAATCTATGTTCAGCATAATAATACCATTTATTTCTTTTTATTTTAGGCTGAATATAGAATGAATGAATAAACGAATATTTGTCTAAAAATTACTTCCTGTCTTGTATTTCAAAAGAAAGTTCGAATCGACTAGAAGACACTCACATTTAAGCTTCTTAGACCAGGGGTGGGCATAAAAATGGGCTGAAGGGCCAAAGTTAATTTTTTATTTACCGCCGAGGGCCGCACCCAAATTTTGATGTTCCCGGCAGTGCACTTCCAAAAACCTTCATACACTGCTTTTCCACCACTATATGCTCAGTTTTAATATTATATTTTACAGATAATCGATGTCGGGCCGAAGGTGTTTGCTAGCCAAAAATGGTTGGCGGGCCGGACAAATAGGGTTTTTAATTCATTCTCGCGGCCGCAAAAACTCTTGCCCACCTGTGTTTTAGACTATAAAATTGTCAACTGTTGTATTCCAATATATAGTTATGATGTTCATATATTATATGGTCATATTGTGATGTCATTATTACCATATTTAGGCAAGTGACATGAGTTTGTTCAATTTTCATATATATGATTTTAAAATTTCCAAAATTTATTTTTAGGAATTTGGAAAGCAATAGAGTAAATGTCATTAAGAACACAGCATTCAAAGACTCGACGTATCTTTCGTATTTGTAAGTATCCGAGATTTTATTTGCACTGAATTTTTCGATCTTTTTTTTCGAAAGGCATAATGGTTATAATATAACAAGGTGATTGGATTATAATTTTCCAACTCGGTGACTTACTGCGTTGCGTCGTACGTAATCCCAAATCAACAGATGTGATATTTTCTTTTCTTGCGCGCGTGCATGATACTACATAAGGTCATATACTAGTTTTATTAATAATTGGGATTATAATTATGGTGTATAATTTCAAAAGTAGGTGGGCTTACTGCGTTGTACGTAGTTACAATTCAACAAATGTTTTGAAATTGGCTTTAGTTGCGCGCATGCATGATAATAACAAGGTCAATGTTAAATGGAGGTGCTACTAGTATGGTGTATATAATTTTAAAACATGATGGCTTACTGTATTGTATTTAGTCCCAAATCGACGTATGTTGTGAGATTTTTTTTTTTGCGCTCGTGTATGGTACTACAAGGTGAAGGTCATATACAAGTTTTACAGAATACTTGTGATTATAATTTTAAAACTCGGTGACTTAATGTAGTCGGAGTCGGCGTATGTTGTAAGATAGATTCTCGTTTTTTAAAACAATATTTTTTTAAAAGTACGGAAACTGTACGCAGGAATATAAATATGACAGAATATATTTACAATTAAAACAATAGTTTCAAAAATATATTTATAAAATGTAAATATTAACATTAATATATTTTGTATTGCATTAGAATGCGTGCGTCAGTTGTAAAGATGGTTGCGCCAAGAAGAGCGGTTTTGCGTCAGTTCTTCCAAAAATGATAATGGAATGTCAAAGGAAGTTAGATCAGGTTATAGGACATCCTTGTAGCGTAGTTTTGGACGACCACGAGGGCGGTTTCCGCTTGCTAGCTCACTATATAAGATGTTATTTGGGAGTCATCTTTTCTGCAAACATGCCCTATCCATTTGATGTAGGCCTACATACTTGGCACCCGTCATTTCCATTATTTTTTTATTAGGTATTTTCTTGTCCCAGGTTTATGTTTAGTATTGTGCGAAGGTATCAAAAGTGAATGGAATTTAGTCGATGCTCAAGTTTACGATAGGTTGGCCAAGTCTTACTGCAGTATAGTAGAACACTCAGGACACATGCGGTGTAAATCCTGACTTTTAAGCATATATCAAGCTTTCTATTGTTCCAGACTCTGTTACGCAGTTTACCGAAAGTAGTTGCAGCTTTTCCTATGCGATGACTTATATCAGCATCTAGGGTGTTGCTATCTGTAACAGTGGATACAAGGTAGGTAAACGGAGAGTCATCAATAATGATGTTTTGTGGGACAAAATCACAGTTTTACCTAGGTTGATGGACAATCCAAAGTCATGACATGCACTAGAAAATGCAGTGCAGGATGACTGGAGTTATGAGTGAGCAACAATGGCAGCATCATCTGCGTACAGTAACTAATATACTTTAAAGCTACTTGTCTTGGTGCGGGCGTGCAAACGTGAAAGGTTAAATAGCTTTCCAGAAAAACGTGTATTAAGAGTAATTCCAGTTTTCACAGGATAAGCACGTTGGAGTAAAGCAGCAAAGAATATTCCAAATAGGTTTGGAGATAATACGCAGCCTTGTTTCACGCCTGTTGTTATAGCAAAATTCTCTGAGTGACGTCCATGATGATGGATAGGTGCATACATGTCATGAGGGAAGGCAGTAATGATCGACAGAAGAATATCTGGGCAACAATATTTCTTGAAACTATCTCGTAATCCACTACGGCGGCTGACACTGTCAAATTCCTTTGATAGGTCGATGAAAATCACATACAATGGGCGTTGCAGCTGCTCAGTGGCTTTTTCGTGAATCTGTTTGAGATAGAACATCATGTCTACTGTAGATCTGGAAGAACGAAATCCACATTGACTTTCTAGAAGAACACGATCAGCTAGAACTTGGAGGCGTGGTAACAATATTTTGGCAGATAGTTTACCTGCAATGCTGAGTAACAAAATTCCTCTGTAATTGTTACAGTCCAGTCTACTGCCTTTGTTCTTACAGAGCGTAATGATGTTGACATCTTTAAAAACGTTGGGGACACATCTCTTCTCCCAATATAGTGCAATTACTTTGTGGAATTCTTCTGCAATTACATCTCCACCACCGACCTTGAATATGTCAGAAGGAAGACTGTCTGAACCATGTGACTTGTTGTTTTTGAGGGAACTTATAGCTTCCTTAACTTTATCAAGGGAGATGTTCCTGTCTAGGTCATCTATAAAACCAAAAGATGGTAAAGCACTTCCGACGATACAGCAACATTGTTGGAGTAGATAGTGCAATAATGTTCTCTCCATCTGTCAAGTTGAATATGTGATGATTTCTCCATCAGTTGATAACAGAGGTAATGAATTTTTAGGTATAGGACCAATACCCCTTTTGATTCCAATATAAACACCACGAAGATTACTAGAATCTGCACATAGTTGTATACGGTTACTTAGACTGGTCAGTCTAAGTAGCGACATAGAGCAACAAGGGTGAGACGTTGTACTTTTGCTTTTGCTGCTTTAAGAATACCTCTGGAGTTTCGAGTGTCCCTTACCAGCACTTTGTTAATTGCAGCGCGTTTTGCTTCAAAGGCCGGTATCAGTACATCAGCACTATTTCTAAACCAGTCAGGTTGTGTTGTTTACGCCGACCAAAGGATGACAACGCACGTTTCATCATTGTGTTATGTAGTCTTTCTGTTGCACTCGTTGGTGAAAAGGGTAGTGGTGATTCACTAACCCGGTCCTTGAGCAAAGACTGGAAATTGTCAACACATACCTCATCTTTGGTGCTGGATATATTTATAGCAGCAATAGGTTTTGCCTTCGAAGTATGGAACGTTTTAAAATTTTGATTCTGACCAGCACACTGTGCGTGGTCAGTGTTACAGTCAGATGAATTTATACTTCTGCAGTGGATAACTTCATGGAGTTGCTCTCCTCTTACTATGATATGATCGAGTCTGTGCCATCTGCCAGAACGTGGGTGCATCCATGCTGTTTTAGATGAAAACGATCCAGCAAAAAAGTTGTTAGTGACACAGAGCTTGTAAGCGGCACAAAGTTTGAGAAGACGTTGTCCATTATCGTTCATGCTGCCAATGCCATGTCTGCCTATGACATTATTCCAAGAGTTATATCCCTGGCCTATACGTGCATTGAAGTCTCCTGCCAGTATAATCTGCTCACTTTCTGGGATGCTGATTAATATGGAGCTTATCTGTTGATAAAATGCGTCCTTTAATTCCACATCAGCTCCTAAAGTAGGTGCATATGCAGATGTGATGGAGATACATCCACTTTTTAGTGAGAAACGTGCCCTCATCAGTCGGGAGAAATAGACATTGGCGGGTCTATAGTTGGTATAAAAATGTTCCTTACAACGAATCCACAGCCATGCATAGGGCAATGTGGAGCAGGATGGCCACACCAAGAAAGTGTAATTATCTGCACGAATAGATCAACAACAGCCGACTCTCTTGGTTGTGAAGATTGCAGATTGGTTGTAATACTAAGATAACGGACATTCCAACAGGCAACAGTAAAAGGCAACAGTAAGAGTAATAATTACGCACCTCTGTCTACAGTTATTTTTTTTTTTAATTTACAACTAACATTGGCCCACTTTAAAATCGATAAAGAAATTACATATTATTAAAACGGTTATTCCAATGTGGTTTCAACCATAGAAAAGAGAAGGAAAAAATAAGTAGAATTATTATAAATCAATATATTATATTATAATAGATTCATTTTATAATACCAGTTAACTTGAGTTACATGTTGAATAAACACTATTTTTCAACGGTATAAAGAAAAAATAATAATGAAGAATAAGTAAATTTAAAAATCATCATAATAATATACCAATGCAGAGAAAAATAAACAGTACATATAATTCCCCTCCCCCGACAGGGGTGGGGGGGGGAGGCACACTCGACGGAGGATGTAGCCATCTTCCCCCGTAATTTTAGGGGATTACAAGTGTTTTATAAGACGATTAGGCCCTAAGCATACCTAGCAATACTAAGATACGCCTGATTGTTACACTAATGTCTCAACGAGTGTGTTTATTTATTTATTTTTTTTGCGGGTGGGGGGTGGGGAGAGGTGGTGGTGCATTATTTAAACTATAAAGCGTATGTGACCTGTAGAATGTGGAAAACAAATTGGATGGGAATTATTATTTGGTTTGAACACCATGTTTTACTCACGAAGGTCTGAGGAAGACTTATTTCCAGTGGGGTCCTTCTGGTGGTGATTGGGGAATACACTGGTACTGCGTTTTTTAACGTGCATGTGGGCCATAATGCAAACGGGTCCAACAGCTTAAATGTCTCACTTTAGTTGAAATACAAGGAGAGAGCAGCGATGGGAATTTAACCGAGGACCAAAATATATCCACACGGTTAAGCGTTCACACAGTGGCTACACTGACTGAGCTAAGTAAGCTACTGAGTTCAAAATTATAATCTCATCAATATTTGTAAATATGTAGACATTAATCTGATTGGATAAACTTTTCCTCCGTTATTTTTTAAATTATATCAGAGGCTTTTAACAAGAAAGACTGCCCGAGCTCACAGCCGGCCCATGAAATTGGCGTGTTCCATTTTCTAAACTGAAGAAAAAATGGTACCTGCTGTAGTTAAAATTCATTAAATGCATATGCTAGATAGTGGACATATCTTATTTCTACTGTGTTATGCATAAATTGGGAATGTATTTCCCAATTCATTCACTAGTAATTGATCGTATAAAAAGTGCATTTTTATATAGCCTTTTCGTATAACGAAATCGGCCAAACGCTGCGTTGTGCAGCGCGCTCAATCTGTTCATGTTTGTCTTTCTTTCACATGCGCAGTATTAAAACTGCTTTTTAACATGGTCAAACCAGCTAAAAAAAATTGATATATCCTTTTTAATTATTTTCTTCTATCCATGACGCAGAAAAATGAAGAAATGCAAAATCGAGGAGATTCAGCCTAACACATTTACAAGGTTAAGTAAATTGTCGTTTATGTAAGTGTCTTTCATCGAATTTTCAGAGGCCTAAATAAAATATTAAAGCCCCATTCCCTGCAAAATTTCACTGGTTTTTTTTTTCTTAGAAAAAAAAGCATTATGCATTATTCTAATTATTATAAACCATGGAAAAACATTGGCATAAATTTTAGTTTTACGCAAAAGAATAAAAAAAAAAAAAAAATGAGAAATAGAGTCTATTTCTTATATGAGATTACAATTTTATAGGTGTAACGAGCCACGATCTCCAGTGGGTTCGAGTCCCGCCCGAGAACAACTTGCTATTTTTTTCGCAATTGTTTTCACACGTACTGAGTATTCAGTACATTTCCACTTCAGTTAAGGCCAAATCAAACATAGGCGTATACTTGATTTTCCTGTCGCAAATCCAGTTAGGCCTATTGTCTATTCTATCACGACAATAACCATTACATTACTGTACTATCAGATTACCATTTTCTCGACGACTTCTACGTTACTAGACAAATGCGGAGGTTGTAGATCGCATCCGCTGGAATGTTCTCACTTTTGTGTATACTTTATTACAGTCAATAATAAACTGAAATTTGGTCAGGAATGGAGCTTTAAAAATATTAATGATCGTTTATTTGTTCAAGTCAAAAATCATAATGATATATCCGTCTTAAACCAGCTGATTGTGTCACCGACAAAACCAGGGGCACATTTTATTAATTGAAACTTTCTTAAATGTCAAAATTACTCTTCACCCGACATTCACTGATAATATGTTACTATTAATTTAATGTAAAGAATTATTTCGTTTGCAGACTTGTTTCAACATTTTCAACAATGCTTACTAATTTTTAATCATTTCAGTAAAACAATCTTTTTCACAATGCCCACTCTAAAGAAACAATTACAAAATTTAATAGCTCATACGGGAGCATAGTGCTCATACGTGATACTTCCAATTACGACTTAAACACTGTATGTACAAGATAATTATTAGGCAGTTTTCGCCGCACGACGTTAACCTTAACGTTAACGGATGACGTCATAATTTATTCATCTTGCGTTGCGGAGTACGTTAATTTCAGGATTTTACGTGCTCGACGTACGTTAGTTACGGGTTTGCGCATGCGTATTTTGATTTGTTTACAAAATGGGCGGAGCTATCGCGTTGCATTTTGGGTGCTAACGTTCATGTTAAGGTTAACGTCGTGCGGCGAAAACTACGGTACCTATTATCTCGTACGCATAACTTAATATATATGTAACCGTACGTATGAGATGATAATATCTCGTACGTACGACTTAATTATGTAGTAGGCCTACGTACAAAACGTATATCTAGTACGAAGCGCCGAATGTTAGTTGGTTCTTTAAAAAATAGTCTGGAATTAGAGGGGTTTCTGAATAAAGCTGCTTTACATCGGAATTTAGACCACGTGTCCGAAGCAATGATCGCCAGCGTTTATATTCTTACACACTAATTGGATTTTTTAGTCAAGACGTGCACTTCTGGAAAGAAGCATGAAACTTTGTCCTAGGGGGGTTTTTCAGTATGCCGATTCCAAAAATTGCGGGAACCACGATGTCACTCCAACCGTTCACACCGAAAATTGGAAAAATCAAAATGGCCGCCAAAAACACAATGTTTGCAGTTTAAATGCTCTAAGTGTTCACATTACCATGATCTTGGTGTCAATACCCATGTTCTTTGGTTCAAGGAATCCAGTAAAACATTATTAAAATACAATAACATACATCTTTATAGTGAAAATGCAAAATTAATTAATATATTCAAAATGGCCACCAACAAAACACAATTATGGAAATTTGAAGGCTCTAATGTGTCATATTACCACAATCTTGGTGTCAAAACCTATGTTATTTAGTTCAAGGATCCAATAGAACACACATAAAACACCATAGCATATACATCTTTATTGCGAAAATGCAAAATGGCCGCCAAAACACATTTCTAGTATTTAAATTACTGCGAGTGCCCTACCTACCATGACCTTAAGTGTCCACAGTAATGCTTTAGATCAAGTTATCCAATTGATAATATGAAGTAATATATATATATATGTATATATATATATATATATATATATATATATATATATGACATACACAGTATTTATTTATATGTTTATTTATATATTTTTATATTTATTTGTATATTTATATTTAATATTAACTACAATAATATCTTTATTGTAAAAATAAACTATACATTCAAATTCCAAAATGGCCGACAAAACCAGGTTTTTGGTAATAAAATGGCTGTAAGTGACCTGACCATCATACTGTAATCTTGGTTGTAATACCTATGCTTTCCGATCCTGGAATTCAGTAGACCATATATAAACTACTCAAACATTTTATGTTGAAAATACAGTATAAATTCAAAATAAAAAATAGGCTCTAGGTTCACCGATTGTCTTTATCTTGGTTATCAATAGCTGTTTTATATTGCATAATCCGGGGCACTAAACCTGAGGCCGAGGTGGCTGTAAACTCTCAAGCAAGTGGCCGTTCCAAAACTTTCCGCCTATACTTTGTAGAAGAAATTACACCACCGCTGCCACAAGCTAAAGTGTAGCACCACAAACTAAACTAAATGTGACAGATACAGATGGATAAAAAAATGTTCCTTAATCCAAACTCTCATTTGAGTATTTTTTATTTGAGGAACTGACACTAAACATGTGAGGCCGAGGTAGGTGTAAACTCATAGGCAAGAAGCCGTCAGCACTATACAAAGACTTTGAGTCTGGTATGAAGAGATGAATCTGGTATGAAGAGATGCGTAGGCCCACTGCCTTCAGTGTTTTGTAAAACTCCTTGTAGCTACTAGTATCTGCATACAGCTGAGTCTTCGCTTCGAGGTTTATCCACCAATTGTTTTTTATTTCTCGTAGTTTACACCAAAAATTTGCTGTAGGTAATGTGAATTTTTTCTTGGAGAGAACCCTTGGACTTCTTCTAAGGTCTGGCGTATATCAGTTTTCAGGTTTTACAAAACAATTCTGGACAGGAGTTTGCAGTGTAACTTGCATCCTAAAGCTTTGATTGAAGTTTCACTTGGATGTCAGCTTTCATTGCAACTGACTGGAAGTTGCCAACCTGAAACTTCTCCCTTTCAGTGTTTTGAGGGTTGACCTTGCCATCTGTGGGGGGTGTTCTGTACGAGGCTAATCAGATCAGTGTAAAACTTACCCTTAGCGTCAGCTTGAACGGTCGGGGCGTAAATGCTGACGAAAGTAACATGATGCTTGCTTTGAAGTAAGGCACATGGAGATGATGCGATCGGAGTTTCATTTAATTTAATTTCTTTAGGCACGAGGGCCAAGGATATGCCAATAAGTGAACTTAATCACTGTCCTACGTGGCATATCCATTTAACAACAGGGGACTTAATGGACCAGTACACCGGGGTAACCCCCTACTCTTCTCGAATGATGTACCGGGTTCTTTAAAGTGCACACGAGCCAAATGCGTACACTGGGACTACGGTTTAAAGTCCTTATCCGAGAAGACTTGTTCCACCACCGGAACCATTGGCGAGTGAGCCGTTCGAACCAACTCCGATATTAGAGCTAAAG